GAGACAGAGAGAGAGACAGAGAGACAGAGAGAGACAGAGAGACAGAGAGAGAGAGACAGACAGACAGACAGACAGACAGACGGGCAGACGGACAGACAGACAGACGGACAGACAGACAGACAGACAGAGAGACAAGGATGTTCCGCATTACTTGTTTTCTAAGGGATCCCTACCTGAAAATGTCTAGTTTCAATCTTTTGTGACGTCAGAATACCAATTTGACCGATGTGGTGACTAGCAAAATCAGCCGACATTGTTTCAAGGTACTTTTACACCTGGGGTAGGTTAGTGTCAAACACTTCGAAATATACTTTCAGAGGCTCATTACGCATCGTTTAGCAGAACCCACGAACTTGATCAAACTACACAATATACTATACAGAAGGAGTAGATTCTATATCAGTGATACAGTTTATTTTCTTCATCACTTTTCATAGGTTTGTTTGAGTATTGTAGCAAATCTCGCAGAAGTAGAGAGCTTAATGGGTCCAAATTAGATCGGCATCTCTGCTGCTTTATCATATTCCCTCAATGACGGACAAATATTTTTTGAAGTAATAAACTGTGCATGTACTTGTACTAGAAGATTTTGTGACCGACTTTTTAGCAATGCCTTCTTCAAATGTCACATTCTAATTACATTTGCCATTTTTTCCAGTGTCTGGGATGCAGCAAAGATGATGTGTCTGAATAGGATACACCGTGTTCCTATCATACAGTTCGATGAGAACTACGCCAAAAGTGAAGCAAGAAAACAGCAAGGCACGCTATTGTACGTCCTTAGTCTCAGGAATGTATTCACACAAACTGTCGTGAAATTGGTAAGCTGCTATATTGCCGAGCTAAGCTAGGGTATTGTTAATGTGCTATTATCGGAGTCTCGTTCTGTGTACAGTTGCTATAATTTAGACCTGCTTTTTGGTTGATAGCACATAGCCTTTCGATTTTTGCAGCCAGCTGAAGGTGGTCTGGTGGCAAGTGCCCCCTATCGCATACGCATGATAACCGGATCGATACTCGCCCAGACCAACCGGACTTTCTATCTCTGTGGGGTCGGTTAAATGGGTCCAGACTACTCTGGAAGAATTAAAGCACTGACCTGTACATAAGCGGGCCGACTCAACTTACTATTCCATTTTCTGTTCCCTGTTGTTTTGTATCACAAATGCATTCGCAACGGTACTACAATTTTGGTTGAAAGCTGGATGCGGGAGCAAATCCCAGACGGAGTTGATCAACGCCAGAAACTATAAACTTCATCCTTCTATTGGAGTGCGTGAGAGGAAGGGGCGGGAACGTGGAGGAGTGAAGTTGGGTACTGCCTGAACCAATAACCAGGTGAGAGGGGCTTTTTTATACTACTAGTTCTCAAGCGCGAGCACTGTTCCCCATTTTTCAGTGTCTAGTATAGTGACGCTCACGGATTTGATTAGCTCTCTTCAAACGGGTTAGAAGCCATAAACGAACCCATCTTCTGTGCTCTTACTAAGCAAAAAACCATAATGTTTCCAAACCTGTAATCAAAATCATGCCGTAGGCTTGAGAGTAATTACCAACGACGCTTGTAGTGATGATTTAACGGTTCGCCGTAACGAGTTGACAATGGGTGAGCCAGAGCAGGTTTTCGATATTGATCCGATTGCTTTCGCCTTGACTTGCACTGTTTTCAGTCCAATCCAAATCCTTCGTTATGCTCTCATATCAAGCAGAAAACAGTCTGTGAACGAAGAGTAGGGACCTGGACTCGAGTGCAAACGGTACGTTTGTTTCATACAACTCCCGCTAACAGAGATCTCAAACAAATGCTTGAACTGAAAGCTTCGTAATCTCATACCTATGTCACACCTTCCAAAGTTTGTAGGTCATTGGTAACTCTATTGAGAGCAGTTATGTGTTCAGACGTTCAGAGAAGCACCGGTGATATACGTTATTGCTGGTTTGTATGGCTGTGAATGTTTCATTTCGGCCCGTCATGTTCTTTTTTCTGTTTCTGGCGCCGATAAGACTTCCGTTTGATCTTTCCTCTAACGACGACTTGTTTACGTTTGCTTGTTTGGATGTTTGGTTGCGTGGCCGTCAAAATTCAAACACTCGTTACGGTAGTGTTTCTTTCAGAAACTGCAAATAAACTTGTTTCTCTTGCCTGTATGGGAAATTATCATAGTTGATGTTTCAAAAAGTAATAACCCTTCTATCCTTCTAAATCCAATCACCTGACTTTGTGACTATTGACTTCAAAGCACTCAATGCACATCAGTGGATAATTCTATCAGAGAATGTAAGCAGGAAATGCATAGCACCCCGAAGCCAACTAAATTTACAGGTGCCTCCCGTGGCATTTTGCCATCATTTGCTTACAGTCGCTGTGCGACCTTTACTACAATATGCAACGGCCGTACCCCCGTTCTAACCTAACCATTGGAATTGTAGCTCACGGATTTCTTTAGCGCATTGTTTATCTAGACAGGGTTCGGCCATCACTTTTACCCATTGGAGAACGATCGCAAGAACTTTTATGGGAGGCACTTTATTTGACATTTGCCCAAGTAAGTAAGCAGTAAGTCTTAGTGTTGTCGTTGAAATACGCGGAAAAGAATGTTCAATGGATAATTCTCGGATATTAACTCCATATGAGTGGATTGCATAGTGGGCATGAAAGAAAACATTTCAAGGTCATTCGAAAGCCAACAAAGAAAGCGGCAATAGCTCAAGTAGGAATCAAGGAAACATACATATTTGCGAAAAGGATTTCGTTAACATCGCGAAATATGCATTGAAAGAGCTAACTTCCCACATAGAGAAAACTACAGAAAAAACACATACCACAAGCTCCTAATAAGCGACATCGAGGTTGTGCTCAGCACTTACCTGGAAGTTCACGTGATACTGCTGAAGCCAACTGAATCTGCAGGTCCCGTCCATGGCATTTTGCCAACTTTCGCTGACACTCGGTCTGGGACCTCTGCCGGTACAATGCCACGACCGAAGCCCTTCCTTAATTTCAAACGTTAGTGTTGCGCGCCCTAGTAGTCCAGGTTAAAATACAGAAATATTAGGTCACCAATCTTACATGGTTGATTTTAGGGAAGAGGGAGACCTGCAGTCGGATCGGGCTAAATCAGCCCTCATTTTAGTCTTTTTTTACAGGCTCTCTACAGCTACCAAATTGGTGGAAACTGGGGCTGATTGAAAATATACGATGAGTGACCGCGGTATTATTATTATTCACGCGCGATGAGTGAGGATAGGAGCATCTCGCAGTGTGCGGTCAGAACAATAAGTCTTGAAATGAGGGAAAAATCGAGCAGCATTTTGTATATAGGAAAGATTAAACACGCAAACAAATAAATTCTGTCGACGATTTCTTCTGAGTGGCATTGGAGATGTGCATTCTCACAGTTGTTATATGCTTGATTGATCAGGCCTCCCACTAAAGAAGTTGGTCGCTACCGCTTCAACTGTACCACTTGCCGGATGGGATGATTCAAGCAGATACATTTATAAGTCAATGCTCATGACAATATTAAAAGCACAGTTCCCGATAAGTTCGGGTAATCCAGATTATGACGGAAAATGGAAGATAAGATGGAAAATAATGCGATGAAGGCGAAAGAACTGCGTGAATCAGTGTTTCCAAAGTGAAAAGGCTTCGAAAAACTGTCAAGAAAGGGGCTGGTCGAGAAGGAGACCAGGAGAATGAAGAAGAGTGGGGCGTTTGGTCCAGCTATATATTAAGGATCATTGCGTACGTGTCGAACCTGGTGCAAATAAATGATACGGTAAGCAAAAATTCGTTCACTTGTAAACATAAGTAAACAAAAAACCCTAATGACAGCAAAGTAGCTCACTTTATCAGCCTTTTGGGGTAGGAAATCAAATAAGGGATTGCGGCAGCAAAAAGAATAACAGAGGGGAAGAGAATGGGAAAAAAACATCGGGGACCGGGAACAGGGTTCCCACTGTGCCCTTTCGTCGAGATTTTGAGCGCGAGAGCCTACCGTCGAGATTTTGAGCGCGAGAGGGTCCTTTCTATTACCGTTGGGGGCCACTGAGTATTCTTAGAGGAAGAACTCAGTGGCCATTTTTATGATGAACCGTGTCTTTAAGAGGAAGTTTATCATGGTCTATAATTCTAACAGAGCCCACAGTCAGTATTTGGTGACTTGGAGGCCCCTGTGGCAATATTGGAGGTGAAGGACGTTACTCGAATCAGGATCACCCTCCTTTTTCGAACGTGCTGATCTACAACTGTGCGCTTCTGCGAAGTTAGTTTTTCAGAATACATCGAAGCAAATGTAGTTTTTCTGTTCACCAAATCTGGTGCTTATTAATTCTGCCCCACAAACTTGTTTTTCGGAAATCAACTGTTTGCCTAGTTGGAAATTTATTTTACTCAATTCATTTAAGTTTGTCGTGACGTGACACTCGCAAAATGAGGTACCTACATACACTGCGTTTCATAATTATAAGGTCACGCTCAAATTTTGCACTTTCAGAAAAAGCAATCATTAAGGATTTTTTCTAGCATCATGAACGGATTCCCCAGCCTAAATAACCGAGGTATCCGTTTTTTAGCCGCAGCTGCATTTTTCTGAACTTTTTTAGAACAGTTTATCGGTTTTTGCAACGTTTCGTAAGGTCACCCTGAGAAAGTGAACAATTATGCATGGAAGTGAGGAAATTTCGTGTTTAAAGATACTTATAAAGGTAAGCATGTGTAGCAAATGCATTTTTAAATGCAAATGCAGATGACCACGAGCCATGTTGACAGCNNGCTGTCAACATGGCTCGTGGTCATCTGCATTTGCATTTTGTCAAAGAGAGAGGGATACCCTTGGCCTATTCAAAGATTTCTGAAAAGTCCTGATGTCTCTAGATATAACACCGACTGTGGACACCCATGAAAGATTACTGCCCGTGACGAGCGGACGATTCTGAGGCCTGTTTCCAACAGTACGTCCTCCTTGAACTAGATCCGATCGGAATTAAACTTCTCTGTGTCGAAAACTACAGTCTGGAGGAGCAGTGAGAAGATGCAAGATCATCACCAGGCAAGCAATGGAGAAGGTGCCACGAATCACCGATCGCCACAGAGAGGCTCGACTCGAATTTGCAAAGATGAACCTAGGGAGAGATTGGGCAAAGGTAGATCTGCATCAAAATCTCACCACAGAGCTGAATACTTCCTATTCAGATCGTCTTTCGGATAAAAAGAAATTCAATCTAGACGATCTTGAAACAAGCGACACTGGCGCGACTTGAGAAAGTAACCTGTCTACTTCAGCGGTCGCAATTTCGGTAGAGGAAGTCTGTGGCGTCTGGTGCATTCTGCAATGATGTCGAGTTGGATCTACCTATCGTGAGCTGCAGTATGGATTTCAGGGATTACCAGAACGTCTCGATGCATCATCTAGTAACCTTTCTATGCCATCGCCGTCACCTCAACTATGTCTTTCAACAAAACAACGCCTCCATTCATGTGAGCCGTGCAACGGATGAATGGCTGTAATGCCAATAAATAAGCGTCCTGATATGACCAGCCTGCAGTCCCGATCTCAATCCGTTGGAACATATCTGGGGCATAATAGTCAGACAGGTTTATGCGAATAACCGTCAGTTCCAGGGCACAGCAGAGCTGAAGCAGACAGTTATCAAAGCATGGAGAGCAGTCGATGAGGAACATCTTCAAAACCTAGTTTATAGTATGCCACGCAGGCTATTTTATGTTGCTCTCAAACAAGGAGGAGCTATAGATTATTAAGTGTTGTACATATGCCATTGACCTTAATAAATTATTCACTTTTTCAGGGTGACCTTATAATTATGAAACAGTGCAAAAGCCGACACTATCTTCAGAAAATTCATAAAGAAATTAAGGTGAAGGATATTGCGATAAAAATTTGAATACGGGGGTACAGTGTGATGAGGAATCTTTCAGTGTTTGCCAAAAAATTCCATTTCGGCTGCTTTCTCCAGTATCGGAAAAATGGCGGGTGACCTTATAATTATGAAACGCACTGTATTGCTGTTGACAGAGTAAGGTTCGTGCCACGATTTCAATCCGGATTTGTAGAATTCACTGCACTCCTTGAAAAGAAAATGGAACGTTCTTAATTTGACGCATTGCGTGTACGATGTTGCGCGTGCAATGTAATGACGGCTAAGATGCCGAAGTCGCGTCGCAAATTTCTCGGGTTATCTCTGCTTCATGCGGGCGCTTATCATGAAGAAACAAAACTTCACCCCAGTTCCTGCAAATTTTTGCGACTTCCGCTGCGAGTCTGTGCAGCTGTGAACAGTATACCCCCGCGTCCCCAGTGGTGTTAATAGGCAACGATACGCGGTAGAGGATTCTCTGAACGCTCCCCTAAATTAAGAGGAAGACCTTTGGCTGGCTTGGCTATGGCTTGTGATCCGCGTCGACCCACTGACTCCTTCTTGTGTGGTTTATATAGAGTCACTTCTCATCCCCGGTGAAGGCATTATGCAACCAATCAAAACGGCGACTGCTGGCCATAAATAATCTCTGCATACCTTTACACGTCTTCTCTTGACTCTTTTGTCAGTTAATGGAAGGCCCATCAACCTTCTTCGTTGAACTTTCCCTGGCTGTGAAGTGCACGACCTATAGTCATATCATAGCAGCCCATCTTCTCCGCCAGCTCCTTGGCTCTTGTATGCGAATGCTCATCGATTAGTCGCCCCAGACGTTCGAAATCAAATTCAGTTGGATGCATCGACGTTGTTTATCTTCGAGATCGTAATTTCCTTCGCGGAATTTATATTACTGCAGGCCTGTTTGAAGGTGCCAGAATGAATTTGTGAA